TTTCAACTTGTTGACGTTAAGCTGACGAATTACGCCTGAACAATTAAAGCAATAGACACGTTTTCTTTCAACAGAACGCCAAGCCGCTTACTAGACTACTGTACACATGCGAGAACAGCAGAACTCGGCCAAAGCACAGCTGCACAATCTCTGCTAAGTGGCCTGGCCAACGAATAATAGGCTAGGCCAGTGTTTCTTAACATTTTTTGTATCATGACCCACCCAAGCCTTTCTAAAATTCTTACCCCCCCCACCCCCCTTGTATCATATACATAATTATTAATATTCAAAAATAGGGTTGTTCACTGAAGTAACGTAAATGATGTGTTTTAGTAAGAAACCACTAGGAAATTGGTGAGGAAACATAGTAAGTAAATGTTCAAAACATTTAATGGAGAACTGAAATTCAAGTACGAAAAGAAATTAAAGGAAAGATTTCAGACCTTAACGATTCTCCTTTTAAATTCGCCTGTGTGTAAATACAAGTTAAGTCATAACCGACGTTTGGTTTTCAAATTCTAGACAGGTCATTTTCGAATTGCCCCCGCCCCCAACCATTAAAAATGCACCCCCTGTAGGACGTGGGCCCCATGTTGGGGAACAAGGGCTAGGTGATATTTATCAACACGAACTGATGTTCGCAGTGCTCTACCCTTACATGTTGACGTCAGCGCCAAAAGATTTCAGACAAGCTTCATGGGTTGAAAACGTTTTCTAAAAATAAATCAATAAATGATAGATTCATGATCGTCCGCCCTTTTGTCGCATTTCGTAAAGAGTGGGGGGGGGGGCGAAACCAGTGTTTCTGTCACACAATTTCCTCTATGGGGAGTGGGGAGAAGGAGGGTGCATTTCATATATTGGGCGGGGGCAGTCACAGTGGCCAGGGACATAACTAAGAGGGCAGAGTGGGACAGATGTGCGCTCTTCTAGCGAGGGCGTCAGAATGAGGTGTGGTGGTATTTAATGGATGAAAATAAGGGTGTTCAGAGTTGAGGGGAGGGGCGAAACACTCTAGCTTCTGCCAGGGAGGCGGTTGTGTCACTTTTTCACTTGATATGAAGGCGTAGCATGTAATGACAGATGCAGAGTCTATCGTAAAATGAAGCGCGACTTAAGGCTGGCCTGACTAGGTAACACTAGCTACTCAACTATGCAGTGCATCTATCAGCACTACAACTACCTACTCCACTAAGCAGTGTATCTATCAACACCAAAATTGGTGACCAGCACCAGCTTTACTGTCATTTTCTTCGAGAAGTAGGGCAGAAATTGAGGGCACCGATGGTAATTGAGGGAAGTGAGTGTTCTAGAGGAGTTCGCTCCAAAAAAATATTTTTATTATTTCAAAATCAAGAAGTGGATTTTGGAGTGTACATGAATTCAGTATTTCTATTCGAAGATTTGATGATAGGATGGAATCTTTCAATCGTCCGAGGGAAGCGTTGCGGCATTCAGCGTCAGACATAAACTGGATTCACTCGGATTGTGGCTAGCCCCAAGGTAATCATTTATCCTAAGCTTAGATTCAACCACTCGACGGTCGTGAACAGCATGAGGGTAGGGAGAAGGGTTTGATGGTGCTGAAGACTGTCAGGCGAATTAAAAAGGCAGTGATGCATTTTGGCGCACACCTTAAGTGGAAATCCAGATTTTCAAAATGTAGCAGAAGGCCTTGAAATGTCTAGCGGCAATGCTTGATATGCGTGAGTTATACAAATATTTGTATTTATTAAATTGTAATGTGGCTTTTATTTAAAGTACTTTTGGGTTTAATAAATGAATTTAAAATTAAAAATACATTTAAAAAAGAAAACATTTCTTCCAAAAGATTTCCGCCACAAAAAAGCAATGATGACGTCATTTTACACATTGAAATAAAAAAAAAATAATTAAAGATACCTTTTCTAAATATTTCCATAATTTACCAGAGTCTGAAAAGAAAAAAGAAACTCCTTTGTAGAAAGGTCTGTACACTTTTATGGCTTTTTAAAACTGGTAACTTAAAAAAAAAAATTGTATTAACGACATAATAAAGTTAAGAAAACATGAGAGGGTACATTTTTTTTTACAAAAGTCATCATCTAAATATATACGATTTATTTAAGATAAAATCATACATTTATTTATATATATATATATACATATATATTAATGTAGGATTTTATCTGAAAGAAATGGTATACAGTTAAGTTAAAGATTTCCAATATTTAGTTGATTGAAATGTTCTTTTTGAAATTCAAACTATTTATAAATTTATTCAGATAAATTACTAATCACCTCTTCGATAAACTTTAACGCATTATTTTACAAAATCCAGAAGAATATTTCTTAAAACTAGAACCAAAAAAAAAGAAAAAAAAAGAAGAGAATTGGCGTGTCAATTGAAATGGAACGTCACAAAAACTTAGTTGCCTTTAAAAAAAAAAAAAAAAAAAAAAAAGGGGAATGGGGGGGAAAAAAAATAAAAAAATATAAAAAAAAAAAAAGTAATAACATCCCCTGGGAGCTGTAACATCCCAGTCCCTGTAATCTGATAACTGACAGTACTAACAGAGTAACAAGCTGTGTGCTATGTGCTGGGCACTGACAAAATAATAAATATGATCGAATATATCCAAGGAAAAAATCTCAATTACAATTTATGTTATCAAACATGACAAAATTGTAAAAAAAATATTTTTTTGAAAAAAAAAACCCACCTCAGAATATAGTAAGAAGTCAAGTGAATTAAAAAATAATAAATAAGGAAGGGGCAGGGTGCACAGCTCAATAAAGGGAAACCATCATCAAAAATAATCATTGTCCAGGTAAAAAAAACAACATTTTAGGACAATTATAGAAACAAAGCCAGTGTACACATGTTAACCCTCATAGAACTTCCAACTGGAGGAATTTTACTGGTCAGGGAAAATAGTCCTCACTGTCAGATCCANATGTGCTGTTTGCTATGTGCTGTTTGCTATGTGCTGTTTGCTATGTGCTGTTTGCTATGTGCTGTTTGCTATGTGCTGTTTGCTATGTGCTGTTTGCTATGTGCTGTTTGCTATGTGCTGTTTGCTATGTGCTGTTTGCTTGCTCCCTTTAAATTCTACATTTACAAATTATCAATGAAAAAAAAAAACTTTGTTAATTTAATCTAGCTCAACACACCTCGAAATGGGTACATTTACAAACTATGCAAATAACTGAATTTTTAAACATGACATCATCATACAATTCATTATTAAAGCCTTTCCCTACTTTAAAAGTCATGTTTTTATTATGAAATATGATATGAAAATAGATAGCGCACGTTTGATACTTGGCAGAAACCACATTAAAATTATAGACCTTTATATTGACGCAAAGGTCGTTGAACACCATGTTTGTTTAAGTCTTTAAACGTGCGAAGCTGCAAGAAATAAATCAATAAAAATACCAATGTAAGCGAACATTTAGGTGTATGATCAGACGAGGCCAATTTTCAAAACAGTACAATATCCATAATCGAGTAAGTAAGCCTCTAAGAAGATTATCCTTAAATATATATAAATAATCTAATATATTTAGCGTATCTATCAATATTTTATAGTTTTACTAATTGTAATTGGTTCCAGGCCCAGCTAATTTAAAAAAAAAATAACAGTGCCCGCCCAGCCCCCTCCACTCTCATATATGCCGGAAAGAAACACTGGGCGAAACAAGTCAAGCCATTGTCTTATTTTCACGTTCACATGTAGTACAACACCATTTCAAATTCACATGTAATACAACACCGTTTCAACTTCACATGTAATACAACACCATTTCAAATTCACATGTAATACAACACCATTTCAACTTCACATGTAATACAACACCATTTCAACTTCACAATGTAATACAACACCATTTCAACTTCACATGTAATACAACACCATTTCAACTTCACATGCAATACAACACCATTTCAACTTCACATGTAATACAACACCATTTCAACTTCACATGTAATACAACACCATTTCAACTTCACATGTAATACAACACCATTTCAACTTCACATCCAATACAACACCATTTCAACGTCACATGTAATACAACACCAGTTCAACTTCACATGTAATACAACACCATTTCAACTTCACAATGTATACCATTTCAACTTCACATGTAATACAACACCATTTCAACTTCGCATGTAATACAACACCATTTCAACTTCACATGCAGTACAACACCATTTCAACTTCACATGTAATACAACACCATTTCAACTTCACAATGTAATACAACACCATTTCAACTTCACATGTAATACAACACCATTTCAACTTCACATGCAATACAACACCATTTCAACTTCACATGTAATACAACACCATTTCAACTTCACATGTAATAAAACACAATTTCAACTTCACATGTAATATAACACCATTTCAGCTTCATATGTAATACAACACCATTTTAACTTCACATGTAATACAACACCATTTCAACTTCACATGTAATACAACACCATTTCAACTTGTTTGTTCAAGATAAGTAACCCCGTTTGCAAAGCGCAATGTCTACATTATAAGCCATTGATGCTCACAACTGTCGGGCACATTATTGCCATTGCTACATTACATAGGTCATGATGTACATAGAAATTTAACAAAATGGTATACAGCTATACAGTCAGAATAATTTTTATATATTTTTTTTAAATCACGTGGTATAGCTAGGTTTTGTGCCGACCAGAGAGGAGGCTCGAAATTTTTTGACAACCTCCTCGCCCACCTTCCCCCCCCCACTAAAAAACCTCTTCGGTAAGCTGGAAATGCAACCCCTAAGTAAAAACCTTGAACATAATGTCACCCAGGTCCTCTCCGCACCCAGCCCCCACTTCTTACGCCTCTGGGTTCAGTAATTTACAGATGATGATGTAATTGGTAAAAATATACATCTAAAAGGCTTGAGAATCCCTGCTGTAAAACTCTTGCACAATTCAGGTTATAAACAAACAAGTTATCGCCCGTCCCAGTCGTAACGTTGCTTTAAAAGCACGACAAATTGAGTGCAGTTAGGATTCTTTTGTGGATTCGCTGGACAAGAAGTCTTGGGACGGCCTAGATTTTTGCCTAACTAAGAAATCTGATAACGCCAAATCAAAGAGTAGTTTGTCTGCCTGTCAGCACAGCGAAACACGTCCGTGCTGTAGGGGAACGTGTCAAGTGAATTTTGACAGAAGTGGTTTCGTCAATGTGTTGATCTGAGTCCGAGAAATGCCGGTGGTAATAAAAGAAAGAACAAGCAAATTACCCGTGAACAGAAGTAAGTGAAGATTTTCCTCAATATCACGATCAATTTTAAAAAATGATGCGTAATATTTTAAAGATGCAATGAAAAGTGAAAGAAATAGTTAGAATGGTGTTTCCGATGGTGGGGCCTTCGCCCCACAAGGGGGTAGGGACAGTTTGATTGTTTAGAGGGACAATTCGACAATGAGCTGTCTAGCATTTGAAGACCAACCTTCTGGAGGCACATGGGAAGTCCCAACATAGTTTCAAACATTAACGAAACATTTTTGGAAAAAGAATAACCTTAAAATCTCTGTTTACGGCTCATACTGCAACTGTCAATCGTACTCTTAAGGCTACATTATAAATTACTTTACTCATAGCTTAATCTTGGGAAATCATACGATAGGAGAGCATTTAATGTAACCATCAATATCAGCATGTTTTAAAAAAGTGTTCTGAAAAAAAAAAGATGTCAAAGACGTGAAAGCTATTCCACTCAGTAGCAATACTGTTAGGAAAAAAGTAGATTAAATGAGTGAAGATTTTGAAATACAACTTATTGAAAAGCAGAAGAAAAAAAAATTCACAGTGCAAGAAAGACAGTGAGGCCGTACTGATAACTTAAGATGTATTGATGACGGAGATTTTGCTGAAGAAATTTTAATACTGTTCTGTAAATTAAAATCATTAGAAAGCCCCACTACTGCCAGCGATACATTTAATGAGCGAAAATTACTTAGATGGCAATAATTTACCAATAAATAATTAATTAGACTCTATAATATTTTGTGACGCAGATGTTGCTCCTACTCCGATGTGCAAAAAAAAATAAAAATAATAAAAGGCTGCTTTAAAAGTATACAATAATGGATAAAAAATTAAATGATAAATAATTAAAATATTTGAGAAAATATTTTATTTTGCATTTAACGTAAAGCTCTCCATTATATTTTTAAAAAAATTACTTACTGTGCTTCCTTAATTTTTTTTTCGTAATTCAATTCAATGTTTATATATAACAAGGGGGGGGCATAGGAATTTTAGAAAGGCTTAGGTGGGGCATGACATAAAAATGGTTGGTAAACATTGAGTTAGACCAGTGGTTCTCAACCTTTCTAATGCTGCGACCCCTTTTTTATACAGTCCTCATGTTGTGGCGAACCCCAAAAATAAAATTATTTTCTTTACTACTTCATAGCTGTAATTTTGCTTCTGTTATGAATCGTAATGAAAATATATGATATGCAGGATGTATTTTCATTGTTACAAATTGAACTTAATTTGTGAAAGCATAGTGAAATCACAAAAAAACAATAGGTAATTATATATTGTGAAATATTTATTTCTAATTACAAATAAATGAGATTTTGTCTTAAAGCATAGTGTAGCATTGGTATGTCTTAATACAACAACAGTAAACTATATTGATACATTTTGCGACAGTATGCGTAAAGAGTCAACGTCATTGCCAAGGGTAAGATTGCTTCTTTCTTACAGATCAGAAATGCTTGGGGCAGTCTTTGCAAGGGCACAACGAACATGATCTTCGACAACAAGTCTACATTTAGATTTGATTACCAGCAAGCTGGAAAACACTGTTTCAGAAAGATATGTTGTTGGAAATGGATGAAGAGGGCACAACACGGTCTCAGACAGAACAGGAAATGACTACAAACACTTGATCCGGAATTTTGTGACTGGCATTGTAGAGAAATCAGCTCTCACTGCATCGCTGTTAATAAGTTCAATTAACTCCTCTTGTGTTGACTCAGGAAGATCTTCAACTTTGACAGTGAATGGACTTCTGGCAAGTGCAAATGGACTGTCAGGTAGATTTGGAAAATAAGATGAAATTTCGTCTGCAAGCATGTGCAAGTGTTCCTTCACAATTCTTTCGTCTCGTTCAATGTGATGTCCCTAAAAAACAACAACAACAGACAAGATAGACAACATGTAAATTTTATTTTCATCCAATTTTTTTTTTTTTTAAAGCTGAAATTTCTTTTGGAATTATCGCACCTTTTCAGAAAAATCGAGGCATCTTGCATTGGGTCCTTGCAGTGATAAATTAACTCATTCAAGATGGCAAAGATGTCAACCAAGTAAGCTTTTTTCTGCTGTTCAATTTTCTCACTAAAATGTGCTCCGAACTGCGGCCTTGCTTTCTGATTGAAAAAACATGATGAGTTCATCACGAAGCTCAAAAACACGTTTTCAAGCGTTTCCTTTGGACAACCTTCTCACTTCAATGGGAAATAGCAGAGCATTGTTCGACACATCAACTCGTTGCACATTTGCGAAAACAGTCGACTGTTTAAAGTGATCGCCTTTACACAATTGACAGAACTTTTGACACTTTTCATTACTTCTTGTAACTCTTGTGGTAGCGTCTTCTTTAATAATATTTGCCGATGAATCAATCAGTGAGTTCTGATGACTTTTGGTGACTCATTCAGGAACAAACGTTAAAATCCAGTTCGACATCCTAGCCTAGCTGGAGCACCATCTGTGAAAACACTACAAACCTTTTCCCAAGAGATGTAATGGTAGACATCCTAGCCTAGGTAGAGCACCCAAGTCTAAGAGGCCAGCTCTAAAACAATCTTATTAAATTTTTAAAAATCTATAGCTAAACGGGAATGAATAATATTCTCTCCTAAATTACTTTGTATTACAGATAAACTAAACTTGCCTTAGATTTTTTTATTTTTTCCCCCCAGATACCATGACGCCAAAGCTACTGATTAAATGTCCAGCTAAAAAGTCCCTGGTCGCAGGTTTCTTAGCAGCGACGGTGTTGGCTTTCACTGGGTGGTCGATTCAATGGAACCCAAATAGTTTATTTGTACAAACGTTTATGGCATCCGACGAGTTGCAAAAGGTGAAACTCTCGTGTCCAGGCGTGCTGGACAGGATGCTGACTGGACGCTGGGATCTTAAGAACCACTCGGCCAAAGAATTGGAAGAGGTGGAGATATTCATGAGCAAAACGAGGGCGTACCACAAGCTGCCCCCAACTCTACAACGTGAGGATAAGAAATGTGGTAGGTCAGGTGGTCACTCTGGGAATATCCGGTACATTTGTCTTTTATTTTCATAGTCAAGCATGACCTGATATGTGTGGGGAAATTCTCTATAAGATTGTCCATCAAAAACCATATTGTCTTTAACAAATTAGTGAAAGTTATGTCCAAGAAAGTTATGTATTCAAATATTCGGTAGTACAAGAGTTGGACACTTAATGTGTTCCAGTATTTCGTGATGTCATGAGAACTCCAAAGAGGTGTAAATACAGTAGAGCGCCGAGTTTACAAACTAATGGAAACATGGGGTTTTACGGAGAACCTATTTTTAGATAACCAAACACTCCAACGGAGATGTTGTGTTAAAGAATTTATTGCCTAAGTGCAATAATAAATATATATTTGTGGCCGTGTTGTGGTGATAGGACGTCGGACAGTCTTAAAATATACACTCAATAAATTCAGGACTCGAGAGGACTATGGCTTTATTTGGTTCTATAAACAATGCCAAAGTAAAATCTGAAGAAAAATTCCAAAGAAAAAGGACTATACCCGAAAAGACACAGGTAGTACAGGTTAACAAGGTCCGGACTAATATCGAATTACACTGCTAACAATGAACATGTTAAATTACTAAGTATCTACAGATTATGACAATAAACACCTATTGATGCAAATGATACACACATGGCAATTAAAATGATATTGTTGTAATAATGTCCAACTATAAACTAATTCACGTGGCATGGTGTAACTCGCAGCACGCACACTGTCTTACATGTCGAACCAGTGTGAGATGTGAGGGCTAACATAAGGGTATCGAGTCGAACCAGTGTGAGATGTGAGGGCTAACATAAAGGTATCGAGTCGAACCAGTGTGAGATGTGAGGGCTAACATAAAGGTATCGAGTCGAACCAGTGTGAGATGTGAGGGCTAACATAAGGGTATCGAGTCGAACCAGTGTGAGATGTGAGGGCTAACATAAAGGTATCGTGTCGAACCAGTGTGAGATGTGAGGGCTAACATAAAGGTATCGTGTCGAACCAGTGTGAGATGTGAGGGCTAACATAAAGGTATCGTGTCGAACCAGTGTGAGATGTGAGGGCTAACATAAAGGTATCGAGTCGAACCAGTGTGAGATGTGAGGGCTAACATAAAGGTATCTAGATTTTTATATACTGTCGCCCATGTATGGTGCCTATGTAAGATCCACCCATATCAGGACAGTTACTACAATGGTACAAAGTATGATCACCGTTACTTTGACACGTGTAGTATCAAGGAATCGCTTGGTCTTTTTAAGACAACATCTTTTTGCAGAATGTCTTATTATATTGCTACAGCTGGTAATATCATCCTTACACTTCCAACATTTCTTATGTGATAATTTAGCACAAGGCAGAATTGGTAGCCTACTACACATACTTTACTCATATTCGCTGGTTGGATACTGTTGTATCAATCGCTTATAAGTCATTTGCAGTATGTGTAACCAGAACGATATAACGGTTAGTTTTACGCTCACGAACACACTGATATATAATTCAATTTAATAATTCAGTTGAAGGGTGTATGTTCGACCTTCAAAATAGCATGGCTATAAGTCAGTTGGACGGCTGTAGGTTAATCCGTCACAATATCATGGTAATATGTCATCTGGACGGCTGTAGGTTCATCCTTCATAATTTAATGGTTATATGTCATCTGGACGGCTGTAGGTTCATCCTTCATAATTTAATGGTTATATGTCATCTGGACGGCTGTAGGTTCATCCTTCATAATTTAATGGTTATAAGTCATCTGGACGGCTGTAGGTCCATTCTTCATAATTAAATGGTTATAAGTCAATGGGATGGTGGTCCATCCTTCACAATATCATGGTCATAAGTCTGAACAAAAAACTTCCATTATTGCCACCTAACAATCGCATTACTTTAAAACATCCAGAACGGTGCCGGTGTACAATGCCACAGCTCAAGAATTCGATTAAAGCTTTCAATGCCAATACCTTGTCGCGCGGACAGACTAGAGAGCATGTACGTCACACCAAGACCAAGACGGCCCACTACTTGTCTTCAGGCAGATTTCCTGTGGTGAATTAGACCATTCCTAGCGACTTTAACCTGAATAACAGTTAAAATCTCGAACCAACACCCTAAAGACTTATATGTGTCTGTACGCGCCCTGTCTCGGTTATCCAAGACACACTCTAAAATTTGTACAAGTGAAATAGTTAAATATATATTTTTTTAAAAAAGAAGGGGTTGTGACTCCGCAAAGGAGGAATGTTAAAACTCCCTTTTTTGTTTTTGTTTACTATTTAATGCCCTCTAAAAATGTGGACATGCAAGCATACTGTTGTAAAGATAATACAATCTCCTTTCCGACAAGATCTAAGTTATAAAGTAATACCCAAGGGTTACCGAGAAATAAATTATGAAACTTATCCCAAGAGCGCACATTGCGGTTACCCAAATCTAAGCATTATACGCGACCCCGGGGGGGGGGGGGGGGGGGGCAACGTTAATGCCGTGTAGTACATAACACTGTCTGGCACGCATGTTTCGGTCTGACTTTAGGAAATGAGTATTTTTATTACTCTACTTCATGCACAAGGAAAGTGTTTCATTTCTGCTTCCATGTGGAATAACAGGAAAAATTGGTCTCAAATGAGCACCGGAAAGAAATAGCCCACCTCCAAATAGTTTTGTTGCAAGAGAATTGCTTCTCTTCGGCGAAGGGTTTCTATGCAGTGCGTCAACTGTATTTACTCCATGTAGTGGTGCCATTGAAGCATCATCTAAGATGATCACTTTTGATTTTCTAAAAGATCATTTGACCTCTAAGTCCCACGTAGAAAATTAGTTTGGTGTAGCTTTTTTTCTTTCTTTCTTTTCTTTTCTTTTTTTTAAATATGCAGCTAGAAATAAAATGTGGGACCTTCTGCCTCCCTCAAGCAAAGTTGCTGCTATGTCTGTATATGCATATGGCAAGATTAATTTATTTTTACTTACGCATGTAGTGCATGCCCGTGTTGTAAAGGTTTTACCACTTCTGCAAGGCCCATCAACAAAGAATGACACTTTCCGTACGTTAAGGTTTTCAATTGCGTCCCTGATTTTGTCAAAAGCCTTTCTTCGCCCTAGCTTTGAACCTTTTCTTCGGACATATTTTTTTTCGGGAGTTGGAGTCGGAAATAGGGTGGTAATATTTTCCAGAATTGATTTGCTTGTCTTAGTTGTCGTCTGCCATGTTCTATGCCAATATCCGCCAATCAGACAAATTCTCCATGGTAAGAGAACCAAAATACTAAGACTTTTTTCGTGCATGAAGAATATTAAGTGATGGAAAAATATTCAGTTCTTAAAGGCAGACTAAAGCATACGTGACATTTGGGACAATGTCTCAACAGAACACATTCTCATTTTTCGATTTCTTTTTAAAACTTGGCAATGGAAAACTCCAAGAGCCTGGACTAGAGGAAGGCATCTACGAAATTCGTCCAGTCTGAATTGAAAATGTTTGTATTTTTTATGGTGTGTTTTATGAAGCCATACAATCAAGAGATGACAGTATTGCTAACCGCGCAATCCTGGATCCAAAAACACAAACAAATTAGAAATAAAAAACTAATCCAACAATATATATATATATATATATAATATATATACATGTATATAAACAAAGTATACTTTTAACTCGAATAATCTTTTTCCTTTCAATTCACTGTATCGTCATCCAATCTATGTTTGCTTAGCCTAACAATAACAGCGTCCAATGAAATGAAAGCAAAACTAATCTTCTTAATCTATTCACCGCGAAACAAATTTTCTTCCTTCTTGGTCATACTCCATATAAAATGCTGTGATTAATATATTATGTGGTCGGACCACTTTAAACATGCTCAAATGAATATGTTAAGTTGCATCAAAGGAAGTTTCCATTTGCCTGAATCTTTTCTCTTCTTAAATATTTTTACCCCAAATAGGATACATGAAAATAAAATCTACTTCATAATACTTTTTGTCTCTTGTCTAGAAATGTTGCATTTCATTGGAGATCCCCGACCTTGTCCTCGCTACCCAAACTTTTTGCCGCATATTGCAAGGAAAAATCTCTGAAGTTTGCTGAAAAAGGCGTTCTCTGAATAAAGAAAAAAGTGCCACCCGGGGCGAACCACCCCTCCAAAACCTTTCCTACCGCACTGCTTTGACGTCAGATTATTTCTTTCCCAGGTAACATAAATTTCCCCGGCACAAACTGGCATGGAGCAGTATGTAACCCTAAAGGCGACACCCCGTGCTGCATGAATAACTTTTGTGTCAGTAAAACGATCCACGAGTGTCAATGTCCAGAATGTCTTGACATGAGACAACAGATCCATGCCGAGTTTGCCACCTGGATACCTGCGGACCCTACCTGTCAGGTGAGCCGTGTCTGTTAATGATAAGTCGTATATAAACTTTTGATGGAGCACTAATGCAGTGTAATTTATGTTAAAAGCTGAAATACTGTGTTGCGATGAATTGGTTGGAACTAGGGTTTTCTCCCGGGATCCCGCACGACTTTTTAGTAACTAATGACTTTCCGGAAATCCCGGACGCACACTTTTAGAATACGATTATTATTATTATTATTATTATTTTTTTTTTTTAAATTTAACAACAGACAGTGTGTCACATATTGTCACTATAAAGACCCGTTAACAAGATCTAGTTAACTGTGCTGAATTTATAAGTTCAGTACCTCTATTACACAGGTTCTCTGGCGTTTTCAAGCCACGACCACATTCATATTGAAGCAAAGTACCTTTACTACGATGAATTTAACCAATTTAAAAGAATGTTATTATTTTATTTTTTTCCAGCATAATTTTATTGGAGCCATATTTAATGTCAAGACTAAAATTTTAACTCACTCTTTGGGGACGCCAATTAAATAGAAAACAATTTTTAAAAAAAATCACCAATTCTCTTTTTCAAGTGTTTTTTGCCGGTGACCCCCCCCACCCCCTACCACAAAAATCCCTCTGAAACCCAATATGACGCCACCTCCCATGGGCGGGAAACCTGTGCTCGGGTAACTTTATTACACGAAGATGTCCATGTGTCAGACTAGAGTATCTCTTATTTCCAAAGTCAAAATAGTAAGAAATTTACTTTTTTAAATGCAGTTTAGTCTGATGTTATATATATATATATGTTACGCCAAAGCCCGAAGTTCGGCCAGTTCCCGAATCGGCCAGTCATTTCGCACTTTGACCGAGGCGTGTGGCTAATGTCCGATTTATTGGAAGTGGCCAGTGTATATGCTATTTTGGTCGGAAACTTCTGGAAGGGGCAAAAAAATCCCTGGCCAATATTCGATGTGCGGATGCAGGACTGTCCGGTAGTCACTGCTATGTAATTCGAAATGCATACAAGTCCATCTTGTTGTAACAAGTGATGTTACAGATTGATACTTTACTAAAATAAACTAATTTGATGGATTTTCGTAATTTAGTATATTAATAGTCGATATAATGTGATTATCATTACGGTATACAAACACTCAAAATCTACTCATGACCTTTTTCTTCCGACTTTGGCCGATCGCCCCATGCCATTTCGCAAACTGGCTGGCCAAATCCCGAAATCCAGACAAGATCGTACATTGGCCGGTCAATGTGAAGCGAAATTTGCCATTTTCCAGATTTGGCCGGCCAGTTCCCGCTTAGGCCAATTTCGGGCTTTGGTCATAACAAATTTGCCGGCCAGTTCCCGCTTACGGCCAATTTCGGGCTTTGGTCGTAACAAATTTGGCCGGCCAGTTCCCGCTAAGGCCAATTTCGGGCTTTGGTCGTAACAAATTTGGCCGGCCAGTTCCCCCTTAGGCCAATTTCGGGCTTTGGTCGTAACAAATTTTCCGGCCAGTTCCCGCTTAGGCCAAATTTGGGCTTTGGTCGTAACAAATTTGGCCGCCAGTTCCCGCTAAAGCCAATTTCGGGCTTTGGTCGTAACAAATTTGGCCGGCCAGTTCCCGCTTAGGCCAATTTCAGGCTTTGGTCGTAACAAATTTACTCTTTCGTTTATAACGAACTTTTAAATATTTTCTAACTTGACAGTCTGTGCCATCCCATTCAGGTCTGTGCCATCCCATTCAGGTCTGTGCCATCCCATTCAGGTCTGTGCCATCCCATTCAGGTCTGTGCCATCCCATTCAGGTCTGTGCCATCCCATTCAGGTCTGTGTTATCCCATTCAGGTCTGTGCCATCTTATTCAGATAGTGCATGGCTCAACAAGAAATGATTTGGTTGGGTCACCAGGTCAGAAGTTCAGGGCAAGAGGAAGACCCCCTCCCAGGCGTAACACCTTGCGGCAATGCAAGAGGAAGACCTCCTCCCAGGCGTAACACCTTGCGGCAATGCAAGAGGAAGACCTCCTCCCAGGCGTAACACCTTGCGCAAACCGTCAACTATACCCCCGCCCCCGGTAAAAGCGGGCAAAATAGAAAAAAAAGGAAGTCAGAAGAAAGCGAACCTAAACACTTAATGCGAACATTGTTGAACAGCAGATGAAATTATGGGATGTATTTTTTTTTGGCCGGTGGGGACATGTGTCCTTTCAATTTATTAAATCAATTTATTAAATAATCAGTTCCCCGATTCCCAAACGTTAATCGCGAAGGGATATTCGTGGGTTCGCCGGCGAAACAGTAAGCTGATTAAACAAAAAATGATTTTAAACAAGTTTCATATTGAATTGGTTTCTTAAAGTTTCGACAAGTATAATATTCCCGTTGTTTTTTTTCATTTGAATTTGAGAAAAAAGAAAAGAAATGTTGATAGTTACATGAGGTTGGCGTTACTGAAATGTTGATAGTGACATGAGGTTGGAGTAACTGAAATGTTGATAGTGACATGAGGTTGGCGTTAGGCCTACTGAAATGTTGATAGTGACATGAGGTTGGCATTACTGAAATGTTGAAAGTGACATGAGGTTGGCGTTACTGAAATGTTGAAAGTGACATGAGGTTGGCGTTACTGAAATGTTGATAGTGACATGAGGTTGGCGTTACTGAAATGTTGAAAGTGACATGAGGTTGGCGTTACTGAAATGTTGAAAGTGACATGAGGTTGGCGTTACTGAAATGTTGATAGTGACATGAGGTTGGCGTTACTGAAATGTTGATCGTGACATGAGGTTGGCGTTACTGAAATGTTGATAGTGACATGAGGTTGGCGTTACTGAAATGTTGATAGTGACATGAGGTTGGCGTTACTGAAATGTTGATAGTGACATTATGTTGGCATTGCTGATAACCCGACGGCGAATTATTGACATTTCAATCATGAAATTTAAATTTTAGGCAATGAAAATTGTACATTAAAAAAAACATAATTGTGAAAAATATTTTTTTAAAGTGTTTCGTTTAACCTTATTAAGGAGCGGGTCGAGGGTTACTTTGTTTGAATAATATGGGTCGCAATTTTAAAAAGTTTTGAGAACCTGTGAATTAGATAAAATAAAATAAATAATACTGGAATGGCTATTTAAATATAATGTAAATTACCCGACATTTTGTAGGTGAAATTCCAGAAAGATATACCTTCCACCCTTTTTGTAGAAAACTCTTTGACGCCAATGAGATTCTTCAGAAAACATCATGTTTCGATTCTTTATCATAATAATGTTGACAAAGTGTTCTTCTTTGCTTCTCCCGACTTGCAGATGTCTCAGTTTACTCACCTAAAAGATGTGTGTAGAGTGCTCCTCAACAAGACCATCTACTTGATAGGCGACTCCTACATGCGTCAGCTGCATATGTCACTGCTGACCTTGCTGAGACACAGCCAGAATAGAAGCATCCTTCGAGATGACGTGTCTCAAGGTCAGTTGGAAGAGTAGAACGTAATTCATTTTATAAAGTAAAATAATATAAAGAAGAGATGTTAAATAAAGCAAGAAGTTAGCACAAGGGCCGGCAACCAACAGTTTCAGACGGATGAGTTGCGGATTCCTATTTATTCGTAATCAATAATAAAATGACGTTATGTTTATAATCTAATACAAGCACGCGTCTAATTTGTTTAGGCATCTGTAACGACACACAATGCTTTGTTTAGTCATATATAATGACATACATCGCTTTGTTTAAGTATATGTAATGGCATGCATCGCATTGTTTCGGTATCTGTAATGACATACAGCCCTTTGTTATCTGTAATGGCATACAGCGCTTTCTTTAGTTATCTGTAATTAAATACAGCGCTTTGTTATCTGTAATGACATACAGCACTTTATTTAGGTATGTATAATGTAATACAGCGCTTTGTTTAGTTATCTGTAATGACATACAACACTTCGTTTAGTTATCTGTAATGACATGCGGCTCTTTGTTTAGTTACCTGTAATGACATACAACACTTCGTTGATTTATCTGTAATGACATGCGGCTCTTTGTTTAGTTATCTGTAATGACATGCGGCTCTTTGTTCAGTAATTTATAATGGAATTCGCAACCATCGATGACGAGGTTAACCTTAGCATTGCAAGAACCAGTTATACCTATTGCAAAATGTCTAACAATGTATGAACCAGGAATGGTATCGACACTCAAACTACAACGAAACTCTACAAGGCGGCTGTGCTCCGCACTGTTCTTTATGCATGTGAAATTGTGCAAAACGTCATGCAAGAAAGCTTGAACCACTTTCACACAACAAGCCTCAAAAAAATCCCTCACGTCAAAGCCAGGAAAGGGTCGCAGACACTGAGGTTTTCGCACAGACAGGTGTCCTCTGGATTGTACAATTGGATGTAGTCCCAGCTTCTGGTTCGGGCATGTTTTGATAATGTCAGGTGACGGCTTGCTCAAACGATTATTTTATATGGCAAAATCAAGCACGGAAGGTAGCTTCCTGAAGGACAGAAGAACCATATTGAAGGCAATCTAAAAGTCTCATTTAAGGAATTTGATATAAACACTGACACAGGATAAGATTTGGCAAGGGGTCAAGCATCGTGGCGTTCTTTTGTTACACACAGGCTCCATACAAAATAAAGCGAACAGAACAACAGCTGCATAGCAAAAAAAAAAAGAGTTGACCCATCCATTCCTTGCACCCACTGCCCAACGTGCCAGACTCGGGCTAATCAGCCATCTGCGCACCCACCGACAGAATCAACGATAAGCTAACACTGACACAGGATAAGAGTTGGCAAGGGGTCAAGCATCGTGGCGTTCTTTTGTTACACACAGGCTCCATACAAAATAAAGCGAACAGAACAACAGCTGCATAGCAAAAAAAAAAAAAGAGTTGACCCATCCATTCCTTGCACCCACTGCCCAACGTGCCAGACTCGGGCTAATCAGCCATCTGCGCACCCACCGACAGAATCAACGATAAGCACGAATCCTAAAGCTTAAAATGGTTGTGACCGACCTCATTTGACAAAATAACATAATGACATCCGGCTCTTGTTTTAGTAATGTGCAATGACACGCGACTCCTTTGAGTCATATATGGCAAATTGTTTATTCACCTCTCATATGGCAAATTGTTTAGTCATCTGTAATGACATGCTGCTGTTTGTCTAGTTTTCTATAACGACGTGTGCCTTTTGGTCATGTGTAATGACATGTAATGTAGAGACCGACCGAATTTCGGCTTCGGTTTCGGCGCCGTAAGTTGCCATTATGTCACTTTCGGCCTAGTTTTGGTTTCGGCCAAAACTGAAAAGTTAAGTTTTGGTTTACTTTCGGTTTCGGCCGAAAGTGATTGAGACTTTCGGTCGTATAGCCGAAAGTGAAAAATGCCTTCGGTCTTCTACCAGATGTCAGATTGTCACTCTGACGGCTGGCAATCCAATATTAATGATTGCGCGATGTATTGCTATCATTGGTAACATATTACAAATAATTTGCGAACACTGTTCACAGCTTCATGATGATTGACTTGTCCAATATTTTAAGAAAGGAAGTTTAAATAAAGCAAAAGGAATGGTAAATAGTTTTGTGAAAACAAAACTATGGAGAATGGTAATATTTATATTATTATTCTTGATTTTTTCTTAAAATTGGGAAAACTAGGCTTATTTAGGTCATTTATTTGTGAAATACATTTTGATTTATCATTATCTTGCTCATAAATCTAGTCATAGTCCAAGGTAACTAGCATTGTGAGAGAAAAATCTTATGGAATGGTAATATTTCCTTTTCGGCCGAAACTGAAAAGTTCAGTTTCGGTTTACTTTCGGTTTCGGCCGAAGGTCATTTTTAACTTTCGACCTTGTTTCGGTTTCGGCCAAAATCAGAAAAAAAAACTTTCGGTTGGTCTCTAATGTAATGTGTCTCTTTGTTAAGTGATATGTAATGTGTCTCTTTGTTAAGTGATATGTAATGTGTCTCTTTGTTAAGTGATATGTAATGTGTTTCTTTGTTAAGTGATATGTAATGTGTCTCTTTGTTAAGTGATATGTAATGTGTCTCTTTGTTAAGTGATATGTAATGTGTCTCTTTGTTAAGTGATATGTAATGTGTCTCTTTGTTAAGTGATATGTAATGTGTCTCTTTGTTAAGTGATATGTAATGTGTCTCTTTGTTAAGTGATATGTAATGTGTCTCTTTCTTAAGTGATATGTAATGTACCGCTGCTATTTTTTTGTTAGTATCTGTAATGAGATTCGGCTTTTTAAATAGTTATCCCTGATGACTCCCATGCAGCTCCCAAAATATTTTTTCAAACAGGAATGCCGACCCTGAGTTAACAACTTTAGTAACAATTTCCGCATGGTGTACGTTCCTGAAATTTCCACAAAAGAGGATGCAGTGCGTTAATACGTATGTCACACCAGGGCGTCACACCAGGTGACATCTCACAGAGGGTAAAAACCAAGTGGACAATTGAAAATCAGACAGAGCTACTCCTGTTAGTTATTAGACCAAGCTACTCCTGTTGGTAATTAGACCGAGCTACTCCTGTTGGTTATTAGACCGAGCTACTCATGTTGGTTATTAGACCGAGCTACTCATGTTGGTTATTAGACCGAGCTACTCATGTTGGTTATTAGACCGAGCTACTCCTGTTGGTTATTAGACCAAGCTACTTATGTTGGTAATTAGACCGAGCTACTCCTGTAGGTAATTAGACCGAGCTACTCATGTTAGAATCTAATAACATAGATTTCATTTGATGAACATCTAAAATGTTCGCCTCTTTCCATTCTCAGCTGATGCAGCAAAATGTGACAAATATTACATGTATTTTTCCCAATGCAGAGGACTCATCATTCAGGACTTAATGGAATGTAATAATACAGTAAGAATCATCATTTACAATGCGTTTGACTTACTTTAAGCATTGCGTCAACCCTATTGATATTTATTTAAAAAACTTTTTGGTTTCTAGGTTTATATTTGCCGTTTCATGGAAATTTCGATATTTTATTTCGTGCAATTTTGATTCCAAGTAAGCAAATGTAATTTTACTATTAACAGAGTCGACTGTCACAGAATCGCGTCTTGGTTTAGCTCAGAATCGAATGAAGTCAAGAATTTTACGATCATGATATAAAGCAACGCAATTATAAATAAAATATTTTTTTTAAAAAATCAACTTTAAAAAATGCGCTTTTCTAAAAATGTATTAAAAGAGATAGAAGAAATGCCCCCCCCCCCAAAAAAAAAATAAAAAAAAAAAAAAAAAAAAAAAAAAAAAATAAAAAAAAATAAATATTTTTTTTAAAAAATAAAATTTAAAAAATGCGCTTTTCTAAAAATGTATTAAAAGAGAAAGAAGAAATGCCCCCCCCCCCCAAAAAAAAATAAAAAAAATAAATAAATAAATAAATAATAATTAAATAATACATAATTTAGAGATGTTAGAGCCGTATGACTAAAAAATGCGTGGGGCGCCCATGAAATAGAATGATCTCGTATGGCTGTAACAACTCTGAATTTTTGGGGCATATTTATTTTATACATTTTTAAAATTCGTGTTTAAAAGCTAATTTTTTTAAACATTATTTTATTTAGTAGTTTTTGGTTTTCGAAGATTCAATTAAAAATCAGGAAGTAGGTTGCAACATGAGACTAACAAAGCGTGGCATGCCGATAGATTGCAAACACATGAAAGGTCAGCGGTGGCCTTTCTGTGGTTAAATATTTGCTGTCATCGTTGATTGCAATCGGGAACGAGGAACCATGATTACAGAAATGCTGTAGTGGAAGCCCCATGCTCCTTCAAGTTCCGTTTCTTCGATATCCACAGGGGTCACTGAAAGGTCAGTGGAGGTCACTGGTGACTTAATATCATGAAGCGTTGTATAGCCATCAGGTGGGGGGGGGTAGGTGTACAAAATTTCAGCTCCTCTGGACATCAGGAAGTGGGTCAAAATTAAGATGTAAGATTCCACCAGAAACAAACGGACAGAGCAACCAAATAATAACTATATATATATATATTTTTATAGTTATAGTTATATATATACATATAAACAATTCACATGACAATGACAGTACGTTCTCACGCTTTTAAAACTGCCTTTTGATCAGGTCAAACTGTTCAGCGAATCCCTCTGGAAAGCAGACCAGGCCAATGAGATTCTCAAACACGTAGAAACGCTCCTCGGAAGGGAGAACGCTTGGTTCATATTTGGTATAGGTTTCCATGACAACCTTAATGTGGGCGCGATAAAAACCAAAGTAAGTCGCAACTTATAAACCACTACACTTCTGGCTTGTTCGGATCTTCTTGTTTTCTTTAAGATTTAGTGGTGGCCGTTTCACGTATCCTGTTCCTGTACTTTAAGGTACGAAAGTAATTTGTTAAAAACGTCACCGGTGACGTCATTTTAAAAGTCATTTGTATCGTCTTAGAATTAAATCCTCGACGACTATTTTCATTTCACTGTTGATGCAATACCATTTTTACAGATTATGTATTATTTTTAAATATAATTTATATCCAGAGTATTCTTTTAACAGGTGCTCGATCCAATTTTCAAACTATTATCCAATTCAACTTGGCCTAAAATGATATGGCTGGCTGTCCACGCTCCTGGACTCCTGAAAACACCCCTTCATCCAAAACAACGAACGGCTAATATTTTGGAATACAATACCAAGGTGAAGGCCATCATGGACCGAAAGGGAATTCCCGTATTGAATTTCTTCGAACTGACAAAAGGGACAATGAGTTATGACGGCAGTCATTATGGGAAAGGGATAAATGATGTGAAAGTTCAAATTTTATTGAATTTTCTACGAGAACAAAATTATATTCATAAAATTAATCCCTGATAATGTGAGATAGCCATAACTTAAGTAATTAATTAATTATTAAACATGTGTAAAGCATGTGTGGAACAAAGATAATCTGTTGTAGCAATAGAGGAAACGTTCAATATATATACGTGACTATTCAGGCTGTGATGAGGGACTTAATGAGAAAATGAGAAACATATTGCACAAATATGTCACAGATTCTGACTAATAAATGGAGAATGCTGTACAGCTGTTTATTTACTTGTCTGTCTCATGCGTGTCAGGAGTTTTGACCAGGGCCGGACGTAAGTTTGCTGAGGCCCTGAGCTGTACAGAGTCCAGAGTTCCCCTTCAGTTTTAAACTACATCAGCTGGTCAAAGAAAAGTTTAAAATATATAGCCCTATACATAAATGGAAATATATTGTCTTATATTGTTTTATTCAAACAATTATTAAGAATGTATTTAAAAAATCACAGAAATATTTCTATTATATAAATCTCTAAAATGCTCCAAGCTACAACGTGAAAAAGTATTTATTTCTTGATTGTTCAAAATTAAAATAATTGATTACGTCATCAAAAGATGTGCTACGTAATTCAACGCTGTCTATAGGCAGGCCGCAAAGAGCGGACGACATTTAACGAGACATAGTTTATATCAGTTCATTTTATATTCTCCTAAACTGTGAACATGATCTTTCTCATGAACAATTTGTTACTGTTAAACACAGGAACACTCGCACTATTGATTCCATATTTGAGAAAACTAATTCGATCTTGTCTTGAAAGATGATTGATACTCATCTTTGTGCATGTAATGTTATTTTTCAGGATAATTCTACTTAACATAGTCATTGAGGCGCTCAGTTCATTCGAGAGATTAATTTCAACATGGTGTTGATACTCTTTTTAAAAAGTATCAACTTCCTGACATTACTTTACTTCTGATGTAGTTAATCAACTAAGAGGGACAATTTATTTGCAACATAATTGCAGACTCTTGCTCGTCTCGTTAACTGTGCCTCATGTCTGTGATATCAATGAATGTCTATGATATCAATGAACTTCTATAATATCAATGAATGTCTATGATATCAATGCACTTCTATAATATCAATGAATGTCTATGATATCAATGAATGTCTATGATATCAATGAATGTCTATGATATCAATGAACGTGTATGGTATCAACGAATGTCTATGCTATCAATGAATGTCTATGATATCAATAAATGTCTACGATATCAATGAATGTCTATGATATCAATAAATATATATAATATCAATGAATGTCTATGATATCAATGAACGTGTATGGTATCAACGAATGTCAATGATATCAATGAATGTCTATGATATCAATAAATGTCTACGATATCAAAGAATGTCTATGATATCAATGAATGTCTATGATATCAATGACTGTCTATGATATCAATGAATGTATATGATGTCAATGAATGTCTATGATATCAATGAATGTATATGATATCAATGAATGTCTATGATATCAATGAATGTCTACGATATCAATGAATGTCTATGATATCAATGAATGTCTATGATATCAATGAATGTCTATGATATCAATGAACGTGTATGGTATCAACGAATGTCTATGCTATCAATGCATGTCTATGATATCAATAAATGTCTACGATATCAATGAATGTCTATGATATCAATGAATGTCTATGATATCAATGAATGTCTATGACATCAATGAACGTGTATGGTATCAACGAATGTCAATGATATCAATGAATGTCTATGATATCAATAAATGTCTACGATATCAAAGAATGTCTATGATATCAATGAATGTCTATGATATCAATGACTGTCTATGATATCAATGAATGTATATGATGTCAATGAATGTCTATGATATCAATAAATATATATAATATCAATGAATGTCTATGATATCAATAAATATATATAATATCAATGAATGTCTATCATATCAATAAATGTCTTTGAATTAAATGAATGTCTATGATGCCAATGAATGTCTACGATATCAATGAATGTCTATGATATCAATGAATATCTACGATATCAAAGAATGTCTATGATATCCATAAATGTCTTTGATGAATGTCTATGATGCCAATGAACGTCTATGAGATGCAGGAATGAATTCACACGACATTGATCTCTTAGAGATACCCGTTCATCTACACCACGTACAGCTCCATCATTGGCTTGTTTTCTTCTCAGCCTCTTTCTTGTTACTGTAGACTTTATATTCTACACCAGGCAATCAAGACTTAACGTCTTCTTTAAAAAAAACCAGATAAATTCCCCGAGCTTGCATATGTTGATAAATGTAAACACAATATGTAGAGTTATCTCCCCCAATGTAATTATACTAGTTTCACGTAGGGTTTAGAGTTTAGATTATAAATAACTGGCATTTTTATTTAAAATATTAGAATGCTACTGTTTTTAGAGTCTTGGTAACCAAGTGCAAATAAGGGTTGCTATGGAAAAATTTTTTGGGGTGTGGTATATAAACGTGCAAAAAGTTTGTTAAATAACTAGTTAAATTAGTTGACAAATGCATAGAATTTCTAAATACTTCAACACACTGCTCTCTGCGCCATGTTATCACAAGCCAAATTCAACAACCTGCTCTCTGTGCCGTGCTATCACAAGCCCACTTCAACACACTGCTCTCTGTGCTATGCTATCACAAGCCCACTTCAACACACTGCTCTCTGTGTCGTGCTATAACAAGCTCACTTCAACACACTGCTCTCTGTGCCGTGCTATCACAAAACCATTTCAACACACTGCTCTCTGTGTTCTGCTATCACAAGCCAACTTCAACACACTTCTCTCTGTGCCGTGTTATCACAAGCCCACTTCAACACACTGCTCTCTGTGATGTTCTATCACAAGCCCACTTCAACACACTGCTCTCTGTGCCGTGCTATCACAAGCCCACTTCAACACACTGCTCTCTGTGTCGTGCTATAACAAGCTCACTTCAACACACTGCTCTCTGTGCCGTGCTATCACAAAACCATTTCAACACACTGCTCTCGGTGTTCTGCTATCACAAGCCAACTTCAACACACTTCTCTCTGTGCCGTGTTATCACAAGCCCACTTCAACACACTGCTCTCTGTGATGTTCTATCACAAGCCCTCTTCAACACACTGCTCTCTGTGCCGTGCTATCACAAGCCCACTTCAACACACTGCTCTCTGTGTCGTGCTATAACAAGCCCACTTCAACACTGCTCTCTGTGCCTTGCTATTACAAGCTCACTTCATTACACTGCTCTCTGTGCCGTGTTATCACAAACTCACTCCAACACACAGCTCTCTGTATTGTGCTTACAGAAGCTCATTTCAACACACTGATCTTTGTGTTGTGTTATCAAAAGCCCACTTCAATACACTGCTCTCTGTGCCGTGCTATCACAAGCCCACTTCAACACACTTCTCTCTTTGTGCCGTGCTTTCACAAGCCCATTTCAACACTGCTCTCTGTGCCTTGCTATTACAAGCTCACTTCATTACACTGCTCTCTGTGCCTTGCTATTACAAGCTCACTTCATTACACTGCTCTCTGTGCCGTGTTATCACAAACTCACTCCAACACACAGCTCTCTGTATTGTGTTTACAGAAGCTCATTTCAACACACTGATCTTTGTGTTGTGTTATCAAAAGCCCACTTCAACACACTGCTCTCTGTGCCGTGCTATCACAAGCTCACTTCAGCACACTTCTCTCTTTGTGCCGTGCTTTCACAAGCCCACTTCAACACTGCTCTCTGTGCCTTGCTATTACAAGCTCACTTCATTACACTGCTCTCTGTGCCGTGTTATCACAAACTAACTCCAACACACTGCTCTCTGTGCTATTCTTACAGAAGCTCACGTCAACACACTTCTCTCTGTGCCGTGCTAACACAAGCCCACTTCAACACACTTCTCTCTGTTTCATGCTATCACAAGCCCACTTCAACACAATGCTCTCTGTGCCGTGCTGTCACAGCTCACTTCAACATACTTCTCTCTGTGCGTGTTATCATAAGACCACTTGAACACACTGCTCTCTGTGCCAAGCTATCACAAGCTCACTTCAACACACTTCTCTCAATGCGTGCTATCACAAACCCACTTCAACACACTGCTCTCTGTGATGTTCTATCACAAGCCCACTTCAACACACTGCTCTCTGTGCCGTGCTATCACGAGCACACTTGAACACACTGCTCTTTGTGCCGTGCTATCACAAACCCACTTGAACACTCTGCTCTCTGTTCCATGCTATCATAAGCCCAGTCCAACACACTTTTCTGTGTGCCGTGCTATCACAACCCCACTTCTACAAACGTCTCTCTGTGCCGTGCTATCACAAGGCCATTCCAACAAACTTCTCTCTGTGCCATGCTATCACACGCCCACTTTAACACACTGCTCTTTGTGCCGTGCTATCACAAGCCCACTTCAACACACTGCTCTCTGTGTCGTGCTATCACAAGCTCACTTCAACACACTGCTCTCTGTGCCGTGCTATCACAAGGCCATTCCAACAAACTTCTCTCTGTGCCATGCTATCACACGCCCACTTTAACACACTGCTCTTTGTGCCGTGCTATCACAAGCACACTTGAACACATTGCTCTCTGTGCCGTGCTATCATAAGCCCAGTCCAACACATTTCTCTGTGTGCCGTGCTATCACAAGACCAGTCCAACATACTGCTCAAATGTGCCGTGCTATCACAACCCCACTTCTACAAACTTCTCTCTGTGCCCTGCTATCACAAGTATCATAGCTATTTATATCCCCTTACAAAAATCCTGATTATTGGTCTTCTCATTCAAAGTATTTATAAAGTTATTAAGCAGTCTCCCTCTCCCTAAATTTATAAATACTATACGCCGTAGTTGTTAACTCATTTGTTTAAGACGTCCACATATTTTTATACAATATTCTAGCGGTTATACCCTTCAGCCACGTTACACTAGCTGTTAAACCCTTCAGCCACGTTACGACTAGCTGGTATATCCTTCAGCTACGTTAAACCTAGCTGTTTTACCCTTCATCTACGTTAAGACTAGCTGCTTTACCTTTCAGCTACGTTAAGACTGGTATACGCTTAAGCTACGTTAAGAGAAGCTGTTATACCCTTACGCTACGTTAAGACTAGCTGTTATTCCCTTCAGCTACGTAAGGTCTAGTTGTTACACCCTTCAGCTATTTAAGGACTAGCCGTTGCACCATTCAGCTACGTAAGGACTAGCTGTTGCGCCATTCAGCTATGTTAAGACTAGCTGTTAACACCCTTCAGCTACGTCAAGACTAGCTGTTACACCCTTCAGCTACGTAAGGACTAGCCGTTGCACCATTCAGCTATGATAAGACTAGCTGTTATGCCCTTTAGCTACGTAAAGACTAGCTGTTACACCCTTCAGCTACGTAAGGACTAGCTGTTGCACCATTCAGCTATGATAAGACTAGCTGTTATGCCCTTTAGCTACGTAAAGACTAGCTGTTACACCCTACAGCTACGTAAGGACTAGCTGTTGCACCATTCAGCTATGATAAGACTAGCTGTTGCACCATTCAGCTATGTTAAGACTAGCTGTTACACCCGTCAGCCACGTTGATTGTAAAAGGAGTGGGCCCATCACCGACCATCTGATCAATAGCACACCAACATTTATTTCCCGTTAATCCAGAGTTTAAAATTGTTTGTTAGTGATCAAACTGACGACCCTAGAGGCAGTTGTCATCTTTGCGTGTACCAAAATCTGGCTTTTTGAGTGTTCGAATTTTATTCATTTCTGTTGTAGATTTCCTAGCTTTAGTCCTGTTTTATTCCATGTAACAACATAGCGTTTATAATAGAGCCCTAGTTGTCTTCATGTCAGCCAGCAGAATGTCTCCAGTCTACCTTTGTTAGTACTGTTTCAAGCACCACTAGACCCACGAGTTTGGTTCAAATTCATTGAACACCAAATGGTGCGTTACATACATGGGGCCTCAGTCCAGAATATCTTTGCAGAGCACAAGTGGAGTGGGAATATTTGAAATTCTCTTTGTCTCGACCAATCTAACAGTATAATTAGTAGTGTGTATATGGTTCTTAAAGTAGTTGGTGACGAATGAGGTGTGCTGTGAGCCTCGATTCCGCTCACAATACACACCGGTTGTGATATTATTTGATGTGCTGTGGTAAGTTTGCTCTTTACAAATGGAAATAGAAACCTATATCTGTTGAATCCATCAATTCCTAGACAAATTTTTAAGGGAAATATTTACTTTTAGCCTTAAATAATTTTGATATTAAATTAATATTTACTTATAGATATATTCATTTATTAGTCAGATGATAAAAATATCTTTAAATATTGCCAGCAAAGTTTAGACAAATTTGAGAAGTAAAATTTAAAATACATTTTTCGGATGTTTCGAATCCTTCTTATTATTAAAAAAAATTGTTATTTTGTGCTGATAATCATAGAACAATTTGTTTCCACAATTGTACAAAGTGAAAAGTATTTAGGATTTTGTTTAAAATTATTTAAACGTTCTTAATTATAGTGACGAACTCTACCACACCCCCTGAAAGCCAAGATCGTGGTCCCTCAGTCATAAGTCCCTGCCAGGGTTTCTCAAGCTGGAGCCCTGTACCCCGCACGATGTTTTAGTAAGCAAACAAAAAAAATTCTCCGGGAATCATCCCAAACCGAGAAACCCTGGGTAAAAACATTAGGAATGCAAGTTATTGCTTGTTATTTGTAATATTATTAGTTTTGCATTTCAAGAAGTCAAAGCTTGTCACGGACTGTCGCCATAAGCCAGTGCCTGTAAAATCTAGACAATTGCCTTGCATTGTCAAGCTCAGTAGCTGCAGTTCACTGGTTCTAAATCGTTTCAAGTCGCGACCAAAGTTATAAAGCAGCAATGGGACATTTCAATTTATTAGAAAAAGTGTTTTTAAATAGGGTGAATTATTGGAGATAAAAAGTTGAAAGCTCGATTTTTTCCGTGTGATATACTTTTAATGAAAGACAGAACTAATACCATGACTAAAATTTTACCTTAATATTTAAGTCATCTATTAAAAAAGGGGAAACACATGAAAATATTACCATCTTTCTTGTTCTATTCGTTACAGTCGGCATCCCTTTCATAACTTCATGTGATGTCAAGTCCCATGAATTGAAAACCTGTGATCTAGTAGCTTGATAATACTTGGATGTTCATGTCTCCAAACATATTTATGTTATGTAGTTATATTTTCAATTTCTAATACTAACCTAGTAACGCATATATATANATATATATAAGTAGAAAAGTGTATAATATTGTAGCGTTTTAGAAAAGAGAATCGAATCCGTTGTTAGAAGTTGTTAGAACTATTTCCTTGTGCGGCAACGTGCCACTGATTAGTAATAAGGTGACACACGCTGTGTATAAAGCCCAATGATACTACAATATCACGTAAACACAACGCTGAGTGTTAGAAACTATCCATGCACGGCGATTGACTCCCCTGGTAGATCCAGAGTTATCCCCCATGTTTATTCAATTCTTGTCATACCTTGGAGAACCTGTAAAATATTTTTGATCCATAATATCGACCGTGTTCATGGCTAGTAATATATTATACTTAAATGTTGTCACATTCAAGTAGGACATAATTAAAGAAAATATCGTCAAACCTGAAAAAAAAGGAACGCAACAAAACAACGAACGTGTCAACAGGAAGCCTTCGTCAGCGAACAAACAACAGAAAAAAATAATAAAAATATAATTTAAAAAGGGCGCTTAGCTGAGAAGTATTATCCGTGATGGCTCTCTCAGCAAAGTGACATTTCTTGATTTTATTAACTAATCCCCCCCCCCCAAGAAAGTCAAGCGCCCCCCACCCCCGAGCAAAATGTGTACAACAATATAACGATAGGTAAGAAGTCACAGAAAAATATTCTTTGTAAACAAATTATGCTGACTTTGTCAAGTTTAACTTGGAACTGTGTTTGCGATTTTCTATTATTAAAAAAATGAATTAATGAAGATTATGATTGCAATTCTTTAAAAAAATGTAATATGAGTTGATGGTTTTTAAGAAATATTCCTATTTGTTCAACTATTCAGTACTTGAATGTATGCTTAACTTAATAGCGGCAGGTACGGGAAAGCAAATTTTTTTCCTGAAAATCTTTGTAGTCTAAAATGAGTTTGTTTTTTTTTAAATGAGTATAATATATCTTTTAAAAAAATGTAATTTTTTTCTTAAATTCGCGTTGTCTTCCTGTGAACATTTGTGACACAATTAAGTCGGTGGAAGAGAATTATCATCAGTCTAAACAAAGGTCCTGCTTCTTATTTTGCTAACAGGCATGATGTTATTCTTTATCTAAACTATAACAATGTTGTTCCTGATTTTTCTCTATGACTTAATTTTTTTTATCGATTTTCCCCCCCAACTTGAACATTGCAGACATCATGGCATTAATGGAACGCAATTTTTATCTGTCTAAAAAATTCCTGCTGCCATTTGTCCTAGCAGTGTCGGCCTTCGTTTATATCGACTTGTCTTTGGGATGGAAGTGGAGTGGGATCATTTGGTTTGTTGACAAAACGTCGGCGGTAGCGAGTAGCAAACACCTTGAAGATGTGGAAACTACGTTGCGTAGACCGGTCGTGACGTCTGCACCCAACACGCCAGCCGTGCTGCAAAAGGTGAAACTCTCGTGCCCAGGCGTGCTGGACAGGATGCTGACTGGACGCTGGGAACTTAAGAACCACTCGGCCAAAGAACTGGAAGAGGTGGAGATATTCATGAGCAGAACGAGGGCGTACCACAAGCTGCCTCCAACTCTACAACGCGAGGATAAGAAATGTGGTAGGTCAGGTGGTCACTGTATGAATATTTATTATAATCAAACTTTACTATGAGGCTTTGTTGGAATTTCAGTTTATATTTAAATAAAAATGGGAATAATAATGCTGTTGTTAAATTCCATTGCGAAGTATTTATTATCTGAAACTGATACATTTTAATAGTTAAACGCCAACAAAAAAGGTAATTAAAATTTGACAATTATGAAGATGTTTATGTTCCTCTTATTTTAATATCAGTTTTTTTTTTCCTCCAGGCAATGTAAATTTCCCCGGCAAGGAATGGCATAGAGCAGTATGTAACCCTAAAGGCGACACCCCGTGCTGTATGAATAACGTTTGTGTCAATAAATCTGTCCAAGAGTGTCAATGTCCAGAATGCCATGACATGAGACACCAGATCCATGCTGAGTTTGCCACCTGGGTACCTGCGGACCCTACCTGTAAGGTGAGTCAGAGTCTGTTAGGGAAGTCGTTTGAAAACAAGCCTTACCGCCATTCAGCTAACACACATATTCTGGTTGAGGCTTGAGCTTACGCTCTTAAACCCTGGCTGGTACAAGGGTAACAAGCTCCATCTGTTGGGCTGTGCCGTATAGCAGTGGTCCCCAACCTTTGCATCGCCGCGACTGGTCAACCTTTGATAATTTTACCTCGGCTCGCTGAAAAGGGGGTGGGGGTGGTTGATTGTTTATATTTTAGATTGTTTTAATTTAATAATTTTAATTTAATTGTATTTAAACATGACTTTAAAAAAATACATAAATAAGAAAAAGAACATAACGTGATTTAACGTTTGAGCTAACTAGAACGCTAAATCAATGAGAACCCTGAGCTTGTTTCTCTGCAACGAGACGGTTCCATCGGTGGTTAAAAGGAGGCAATGACACCCAAAGTGTGTTGCTTATGTCCAGTTTATTCCATTGTTGTGTTTTTGTTTCTGTCACTGCAGAAAACCTCGCTAAACACAGATAGGATGTCGGAAATGGCAAAAGGGATTTAAGTGCTATGGTGGCAATCTCAGGGTATTCCGTCATGACTTTAATCCAGAACACCAATACAGTTGTTGTCTCGAAACCAGTTTTAAGGCCGCCGTCATTTGCAACCTTCAGCAGTTGATCTTCTTCTTGCACAGACTTGCTAGATTCGCCTGGTTTGTTGACAAATTGGTCGGATCCATTTCTTACCAGTTCGCGGGTCTTTTGTTGTTGGGAAGTAACGCTCGAACTCTTTTAAAAGCAAAGACAGGTGATCGTGCACCAAGTGGGGGAATGAATGCTCAGGCTCAGTCTAGACAGGTGATCGTGCACCAACTGAGAGAATGAATGCTCAAGCTCAGTCTAGACCGGTGATCGTGCACCAACTGAGAGAATGAATGCTCAGGCTCAGTCTAGACCGGTGATCGTGCACCAACTGAGAGAATGAATGCTCAGGCTCAGTCTAGACAGGTGATCGTGCACCAACTGGGAGAATAAATTCCCATGCTCAGTCTAGACAGGTGATCGTGCACCAACTGAGAGAATAAATGCTCAGGCTCAGTCTAGACAGGTGATCGTGCACCAACTGAGAGAATAAATGCCCATGCTCAGTCTCGCCTAAAGTCCCCGCTAATGTTCGAATCGTGTGCAGAATGCCTCTGCTCACACGCCGTCCTCACAACTCCAGTTCGGCTTTAAATGCAGCTAATTTGTCTGGCAACTTGAAAACAGTTGTAATTTTTCCCTAAAGCGACAGATTGATTTCATTGAGCAGGCTAAGTATGTCACACAGGTAAGCCAGTTTTGCGACCCATACCTTGTCACTGAAATATGTTACCAGCGGTGACTTCTTCTCTGAGAGCAATCTTTGCAATGGCTCTCGTAATTCAAATACTCTGGTTAGCGATTTTCATTTTGATTACTATATCTTATTTCTGTGTCCAAGAGAAGGCAACTGTGCTCTGCGTCAATCTCCTGACAAAGCTGCTCAAACAGGAGCGAGTTAAGGGCGTGTGCTTTGGTGTGGTTAATAATTTTAACGGCATCAATGAATACGCTGTTAAATTCCTGTGATTTTTTTCGGCTTGCCAGCATTTCCCTGTGAATGATGCAATGCGTAGATTCACCCTCAGGTGCAACCTCCTTAATCCGAGCAGTTAAACCAAACAGTCGTCCGGTTATGGCAGCAGCTCTGTCTGTGCATATGGCGACACAAAGGGACCAATTTAGTTATCCTGATATATAATCATCCAGTGACTTGAACAGTTCTGCTCCTGGAGTGTTGGTTGGCAATAATTGTGCACATAACAAATCCTCATGCACATCCTCCTGATAAAGATAGTGCACATAAACAAATGGTATTGCCTTGTCGTCGATATCTGTAGATTCCTCAACCTGTAGTGCGTACCACGGTGGTGTATTAATCCTCTCCCACAATCATGTCTCAATGACTTCGTCTGTTTCCTCAATGCGCCTAGTCAGTGTCAGCCAACAAAGGCACATGTGATATCTTTTTAACAGCAGCCTCTCCTAAAAGTTCGCGTCAAATGTCTTCCATGGAGGGCAAGATCAATTCTTCACCGATAGTCAATGGCTTTTCAGCCTCAGCAATACGGTTAGCCTCACAACTATCGTGTGAGCCAGGCAAACCCTACGACTGCAGGGGGCCTCAGATATTTTAGGGGCTTACAGATATGATGTTGACAATGTCTTAATTATCATCTTTTGGTGCAAGTTGGGGGATGTCAAAACCGAAAAGTGACTGGGGGCCTCGAAATGTCGAGCGACGGATCTGCTTGATCTGATGCAAATGTTTTTTATTTTTTTTATTTTTTTATTTTACTAAATATTATTATCGGCATCCTTCCGTCTCGTGAGACGATGGTGCATCACCATTTCAACATTTATTTGAACTATTTTGTGGGTCAACTTAATTAAAAAACAAAATTAATTATTTTTAAAAAAAAGTGTCATCTCAAATCAGCCCTGCTGAAATCATTTTACATATTGAACGCAAATGGAGAAGGGAACAAAAAACTTAGTCAACCTAATGACTTTTTCTAAATATTTCCACGTTTTACCAGAGTCAAAAATAAAAATAATAATATGGTTAAATAGAAAGTTACATGCATTTTTGTGGAATTTATGGGTTTTCAAAACTGGTCATTTTATTAATCGTATATGAACCGCTTAGTTATGTGAAAAAGACAGGAGTTGTTTACAAAAAGGATTTTACATTTATTAATGTGTGATGCTAACAGTTGATGGAATTTTTTATTTTGAACTTCAAACTGCTATAACTTTCTTCAGGGAAATTACAAATTGCCTCTTCGATATACTTTGAAACATTTTTTTTTACCCAATGCACAGAGTTTATCTTAAAATAACGTTTTAGGAATAACAAATATTTCTAAAATTAGGACCAAAAAAAATAATGGATGGCATGATAATTGAAATGCTAGTTCACAAAAAAAATTTTTTTTTTGCTTTCTACTAGATTGTCATCTAAATTTAAAAAAAAAAAAATTTTTTTTAGAAATATGTGGGGCAGTTTGTTTACTATTCTGATAATCAGTTGAGAATTCAATAAATATAGGACAAGTATAATGTTTAAAACTCTGTTATTGGGTAAACTTTGTTACAAAAGTACCACATGTAAAGAAAACACAAACACTTTCGATTTAATAAAAATGGATCAAACGTCCAATATTTGTCTGGCCACGTTGAAATCTCAATTTAAAAAAAAAACAAATTCAATTTGTTAAATTTCTTATTTTATCTTATTTTATCAACATACATGGAATAGAGTACATTGAAAAATTATGCTATAACTATATTTTTAAAGGCATAATATCATCATACAATGCACAATTAACACAGATCCCAACTCTAAAAGTCATGCTTTATAAAGAAAATATAATTTGAGAACAGATTGCGCATGTTTGATGCCTATCAAGAACTATTGTTAAAATTATAGACCTTTATAGATATATAAAGGTGTTAAATACTGTATTTTAAAGTATTTAAACTTGTGAAGTTGAAAAAAATTGATACAAATACCGATATATGCAAGCAACGGGAAGTAACATTTCGACTTATAATCCTAAGCGGCCAGTACGATATATGTAATCGAATAGTGTAAGCCTATAACATGATTATCACTAACATATATCTATCATTATATTTAGCGAGCGTAGCGACACTTTATATGATCCACTACCTGTAATCTGTTAAAACACTAGTTACTATTCATTTAAAGCTGGTACAAAAATAAAAATTATGTTATTTTTATTAAACAATATTTTTTTTTCCGTTTAATTGTTGTAACACATTCTTAGCGGGGGGGGGGGGGGGGGGGCATTTGCGGGGGGGGGGGGGGGGGGGGGCGCAATTGACTTGCTCCGGTAGGGAACTGCCCCCCCCCCCCCCCCCCCTTTTAAATGAGGGATTCGTGAAGGAGACAAGCTTTAATCTTGTTAATATGAGCAGCTATGGTATAGTTTATTTGTATATTGATTTTCCGAAAATGTATATGATTTAACTGTCCATGCTTGCAGATGTCTCAGTTGACTCACCTAAAAGATGTGTGCAGCGTGCTCCACAACAAGACCATCTACATCATAGGCGACTCCTTCATGCATCAGCTGCATACGTCACTGCTCACCTTGCTGAGACACAGCCAGAATAGAAGCATTCTTCGAGATGCCGTGTCTCAAGGTCAGTTGGTGTCAAATGTCACGCCATCGTTCGTGGAGAAAATACTAAAACGTAGGAAAATTATTTAACAACAACCACAATGGAACCCCTGAACACGAAGTGCGTCTCAAACGGTAACCGGGGTATGTCCCCTACTAGCTTTAGCAGTGGAGGTCACATTATTGCAGCGCGCGAGAATGTTAGTCATCAACTATTTGCTAAGAATACATTTAAAAACAGAACATTTAAAATCTGTACCATTTTTAAAGGGATGACTCCATCATCACCATTTATAATATAAACCGTTACCACTGTGTGTGTGTGTGTGTGTGTGTGTGTGTGTGTGTGTGTGCCGTGTGTGTGCCGTGTGTGTGTGTGTGTGTGTGTGCCGTGTGTGTGTGTGTGTGTGTGTCGTGTTGAAAGATGTTGGTAGATTACACAAACAACTATGAACGAATGAACGCATTCTGTTATATAAGAATATTTGTGGAAAAATACATGACGTGTGTAAAGAGATTCTTTGTTGTAGACATAATACAAAAACTAATTTTATACGGAATGCAACTACCCAGTCTGAAAATGAAAGGTTGCTCCGAAGGTTGCCACAATTGTGGCCAATCTGTCTTGGTGAATTAAGTTTATTGTGTGGAATATCGCAAGTGATGAGGTGTTGTATTCGAAAGTAAAGAAGGTTTACTTGACGGCTTAAGTTGAGTGATATAACCATTGAGTGATATAACCATTGAGTGATATAACCATTGAGTGATATAACCATTGAGTGATA